ATTATGACAGTCAGCATGACAAATGTTGGAGTTATGAGATACTAAACTGAGAAAAATGAAAAATTATGAGATAAAGAGGAAAAAAAAACCCCCGGCAAAATTATGACAAAAAGCTGAAATTGAGAGAAATTATGAAATTTTACTTTTTATGTCATAATGGCTTCATCTCATAATTTCAGGACATTCCTGTAAAAGTGGGCATTTCCTGTTTAGTGAGGTTTTCTCCTTGTTAAAAAACATCAATGAAAAAATGACTTTATATCTCATAATTTTTTACATTTTCTCTTATATCTTAAAAATCAACATTATGAGATACTAAGTTGATGAAACAAAAAGTTGAAATTGTGACTTTTCATCATAATTATGAGATACATTACACAAATAACTATGACTTACTAAAGCATGATTTGATGTCTTATGTGCCAGTCCATATGCAGATAGTTTATCATATTAAACTTAACCGACTGTTTTCATAACTACATCTACAGTACTCACTGTACATTGCGAGGTTTGGACCAAGCCATGTTTCTGGTTTCAGACAAGCCCATTCTAAGTCCATTTACAGCCCCAAAAACAGCACCTGTATGAGTTGTAATATTTTAGAAAATGTGAATTGCAAAAACATCATTCATATTAATTACAAACACATTCATTTAAAAGCAAACACTGAGACTGTATGACGCAGGAGAAGCTATGTGTGAGGAAGAAGAGATAAGATACCTGTGATACAACATCCGCCGATAGTAAAAAAGGCCAGTTCAAAGCGTCCTCTCGTTTTGTTTGCTCCAGTGGGTAAAATGAACTCATCTGTATTCTGTGAGCACATGATCATGACATCCATTAAATCTCATATATTACAAACAAATCAAGGTAGCTATGAAGCATCTAAAACCACAGATCTCACCTGTATGAGATACCTGGGGTCCACATTAAGGTATGGAGAGAGAGGACTCATGCCTGTCACTGTTAAGAAAACAGCTGTAGTAAGCGACTGAATCATATGCACATTAGTAATATAGTATATAGTGGACTTACATGGCACTCCAGCGAGCTCAGTCTTTGAATACTGCGGGCCAGCAGATCCAAACAGACCGAAGCCTCCTGCACTTCTTGAGCCTGGGCTAGATGGTCCTCCTGATGGCTCCTTATCCATCTCTAGGTGAGGTTCTTGCACCTTTTTACTCAGTTAAACATTTAAAGATATGCCTAACTTGTAGGAATAGCTTTGCGCACTAGTGTTAGCCAACAAACATCGGACAAACAAATGTAATCTGTTCCCTGATGAGCTTTAACTTAGCAGGTCAGTAGCAATAAGGTCAAATAAGGACTCTGGCTGCCTGGACCGGCTGGCAATTAGTCTATTTTTTCCAAAAACACAATCAAATGGTTTAATTATGCAGTATTTTCACTCGCATGGCGAATGTTTAACCTGGAGCTCCTCTTGTTTGCCGTAAAGTAAGCTGTCGACGTTCATTGAACTAACCATCACAAACAGCTCTCATCACTCAAACCCCACACGTTTAGCATTTATACTATGTTTATAATCTAAGAAAAAAATAACCCGTGTGGGGATGTGGGATAAACTGTGAATATGAAATAAACTTTACTGAAAGTAAAGTAAGCAAAGCTTCACTGACTGAAGCAGATACACGACAGTTTTTGCGACAGCAACTATTTCTGGCCAGATAAACACCTACGGAAAGTGAAACTAAAGCGAATTCATTCGGAGATTTGCAGAGCAGCTGATAAATCGTTTATTAATAACGCACATAAAAAGGTTTCATATAAAATAATGTATGGAATTGATACATCTATCACTGTGTATTTAGAGGGGGATATGAAACCTGTTACTGAAACGTTTTAAATGGAATTTCATAATAGGCTACTTTTAGTTAGTAATGAAAACGCTTTTTATTTCGCTTTGTATAAATGTCTAGCGTGGAAATTGTTTTAATTTGACAACTTTAGGAAGATGATCAATTGCAAAAAATATTTGTGTGTTTGTTTATTTAAAGAATTATTCATTACCAGTGTTGGGGGTAACTCATTACAAGTAACTAGTTACGTAATCAGATTACTTTTTTCAAGTACCTAGTAAAGTAACGGATTACTTTTTAATTTTCAAGAGAATATCTGAGTTACTTTTTCAAATAAGTAACGCAAGTTACTTTTTTTTCAATTTATTGACTGACAGCTCTCCTGTCCCCATGTTGAGAGAAATCAGATGTTACTGTAGTTCTAAAATAAATATGAATATGCATTAATTCATCTCACTCACACACAAAAAAAACACAGATTCAGTATTCCTCAAAATGAATAAAAATAATGCAACTCAGAATATGACGCAAACCTGCAATAATTAAATGTTAAACAACACAAATATGCTTTATGTATTTAATCCCACTCTATTAACCAATGACTTTGCTTCTGACCTTCGATGGTCCAGTTCAACCATACTAATAAGCACAAATTACTCTAGACAAACATTTGTGTGTTGAAATTTCTTCTTCTGCATTCTGCTGTACGGACGTAAATTTACTTTCCCTTCAGCCTGAGGCTTATTCATTTCACTTTTGCTGTGAAAAGGCTTTTTTATATTTGCCAAAAACAGAACTTTTTTATTTTAAAAACAAACAAGCAAGCCCTGTCCAGATTTAAAAAGTAACGCAAAAGTAACATAACGCATTACTTTCCATAAAAAGTAACTAAGTAACGTGATTAGTTACTTTTTTATGGAGTAACTCAATATTGTAATGCATTACTTTTAAAAGTAACTTTCCCCAACACTGTTCATTATTGAGGAAGAAGAATATACATGAAAAGTTTCAGTGGCTCCAGACTCTTTATGTAAAACAAACAATGTGTGTTTTGTACACTTTATATGTAATAGCTGTTGTTAGAGCATGTAATATTATTATTAAAAATGATTTCAATAGTCCAGTAAAACAACACATTTGATCTTTTTATTTACTCTGGCATTTATTATTATTGTTGTGTTTTTTTCTTGGTATATTATTTAAAAAATTGTGTGATTTCATATGGCCAACAGATTACTGTGGCTCTTTTTGTGTCGCTTAAAACGAGATATATCAAATCAAAATACATATATCACTATAAATTAAATTAGTCGAGCATTTTATTTAAAAAGGGAAAACGTGCGTTATCTTTTTTTTTTTTTCTTGGACAAGGGAAATGCTATATTAATAAGTATTACAACACAACTTACAGTCCGTTATAATTATTTTGAGTATGTCACATTTTCTAAACACATTTTTATGCATACTGTTGTGAACAGTGTTGATCCTGTTTCTAAAGATATTATTGTTTGTAGTGTAAAAAAAAAGCGTTCACAAAGGAATGCGGAAGTCCATCCATATGGTAGACACCTCAGCTGTGACGCGCCAAGGCTGTGAAAAAATGACATCCGTGGCGATGATCTGACAGAGGTGCGGCAGAACCCACCGAGTTCCAGCGACCAAACAGCACATTAGATGCTCGGTAATTACTTTCAAAAACATTTTAACCGACATAGAAGCGTGCATAATAATGAATCAGTGGACGCGTTTGGTTAACGAGCAGATGAAGTGCGGTGAGGGCACGGGAAGACGCGCTGTGCTTCTTGTACTGAGGACTTTAAATACATCTGAGATCATGCAGTCACACCGGCCATATGTCACTCTCTCAGTCTCGGTCAGAATAACACCTTTGCCTCTATCTGGAGATTAGATTACGCTCTCTTTCAGAAGTGCATTTTATTGTTGTTGCTCCAAGTGATGCCTCCGTGTCTTAAGCGATGTTATTGAGTGAATGGTCTCACGGATTGTCTGTCTTCTGTCATGCATGCATTGAAATGGTCAGTAATTATAATATATACTTTCGAGCAACCGCCAGTGCGAGTTATATCAGCAGAAGCTGGCGCTAGTACAGAAAGTACAGCCTGTACACATCGTATTCAGTTTCAGTATGTGTGTATCTGGGCCTGGGTGCAAGAGATACGCTTAACGTAGATCGTTCATCATCGGCGAATGTGTTAAATATATGTGCAATTGTATGGCGGGCCGATTGAATCCTGGCCATTATAATATATATATATATATATATATATATATGTGTGTGTGTACAGTAAGGCTCTACCGAGCGCTTTACAAGGTCAGAGTGCTTCATAGCACGGTTCTTTCTACATTTCGTGTGGAGACCTTAAAACGTTCTTGACGTGGATATCTTGAACACGCGATAAATTAAACGTTTTAAAAGGGCAATATACAGTTGGACACACTCGGTTGCAGCCCCATTTAATCGTTTCCCAGAATGCACCGTGTCTGCACAGTTGTGTTTCCTGTTTACCGTTGTGACGCTTTTGTTTGGCTGTTTTCCCTTTATTGTCGAGGTTTCAAGTAGATTGCTATGGATTTGTTTTGCCGCGAATTGATCAGAGAAGGTGAGTTTATAAATAAGTAAGCCTGACGTAAACACGCGAAAATGCGAGATCGGCGAGACTTCGCGGCATCCCGCTGATGAGGAAATACCCGCTTTCGTTTTACTCTTCGACATATTATCGCGTTCCGACGGCTTTGACAGATTTCGGACGAACTGCAGAACGATTCTTCAGGGCGTTCTCTAAAAATCAGAGCGATTCTTCCGAACGGTCTCCGAATGTCGGAATGATTCTCCAGAACGTTCTTTAAATCAGTGGTTCCCAACCCTGGTCCTGGAGGCACCCCAACACTGCACATTTTGCATGTCTCCTTTCTCTGACGCACCCATTTTAGGTCTTGAATTCTCTACTAATGAGCTTATGACCTGAAGCAGGTGTGTTTTATTAAGGAGACATGCAAAACGTGCAGTGTTGGGGTGCCTCAAGGACCAAGGTTGGGAACCACTGCTTTAAATGTCAGAATGATTCCTCAGGGTGTTCTCCAAATATCAAAATGATTCCTTTAAGCGTTTTTAAATATCAGAATGATTCTACGGAATGTTCTCTAATGATGGAATGATTCTTCGGAACGTTATTTTAAATGTCAGAGTGATTCTTTAGAGCGGTGGTTCCCAACCCTGGTCCTGGAGGCACCCCAACACTGCACATTTTGCATGTCTCCTTTCTCTGACACACCAATTTCAGGTCTTGAAGTCTCTACTAATGAGCTGATGGTCTGAATCAGGTGTGTTTGATTAAGGAGGCATGCAAAACGTGCAGTGTTGGGGTGCCTCCAGGACCAGGGTTGGGAACCACTGCTTTAGAGTATGGCAGAATGATTCTTCAGAACATGCTGTACCTAAATGTCAGAAATGTCGGTGTAGAACCTTCTCTAAATGTAAGAACGTTCTTGTTTGGATCTCATAAATGTCAATCGTGGAAAAGTCTGCTTGATGGTTGTTAATGGTGCAGATATATTCAGGGTTCATTATGCTGTAGTCATGCATATAAGACTAAAAACCTAAAAAAAAATCTATGCTAGAGGAAGTAAAATATCTTGCATCATATAGATCAGTGGTTCCCAACCCTGGTCCTTGAGGCACCCCAACACTGCACGTTTTGCATGTCTCCTTAATCAAACACACCTGATTCAGACCATCAGCTCATTAGTAGAGACTCCAAGACCTGAAATTGGTGTGTCAGAGAAAGGAGACATGCAAAATGTGCAGTGTTGGGGTGCCTCCAGGACCAGGGTTGGGAACCACTGACATAGATCATGAGTCTCCAGCATAAATTGTTTTTTTCAATGGCCTAAGATTAATGCAATGCTGTCGAGCATATGCATGTAGTAATATTATCCCATGACCTTAAAAAACAAAAATATTTTACTCAAAATAAACAACTTTTATTAACAGAGATAGATAAAAAAAAACAAACAAACAACAACAACACATTTACAAGTCTTGACACAAGGGGTGGATACACTTCTATTAATCTGACTAATTATCAGACAATAACCTCAAAAAAACCAGCCGAATATTGGCAGATGTATTTTATTATTCCTGGTACTGTTTAATCAAACTCAAGATATTTATTTATTTATTTTTTTTCCTACTAGGATTTGCCGAGGTGTAAATTAAGCCTGGAATCCCCAGTGAGAAAACAACAGAAGGGCCGTGAAGATCAGCCCTAATGGAAGAGACAGAAACAGTGCTGACCTGCTCCGAGCAGGACACTTTAGGAGCAGACTTCATCACGGTGGAACTTGACACCCAGCCCATCGAATATGTGGTCAAGTGGGCCGAGGTGGGCTCGAAATTCACTATAGCCTGTGTGAAAAAGGATTTGGACGAGGCTGCCTGCTTCACCTCCGATCAGATAGTCAAAGTGGAACCGGACGAGACGTTCTTTGTCCCTTACGAAGCGGTGTACCCAGAATGTGACGAGGCAGATCCAGATTGGATTGCGACGCATGAGGAGGAGGTGGGCAGCGAGTCAGACTTCAACGAGAACAACACAGAAGAGGGGAATAGCCAGTTTTGCGAAGAAGTGGACGTTTCGGATGTCTGCTGGGAGAAGGAGGTGTCTCATGCTAGAACGTATAACTGCCGCTTCTGTGGCAAGAGCTACAGCCATTCCTCCAGTCTTGCTCGCCATCTGCATGTGCACTCGGATGGATCCTCCTCTAAAGATTTCAGGAAGTTGTGCGACAACAAAAAGTCTCTCCAGTGCAATCTATGCGGGGTGCGGTGCAACGGCAAGCGGCTTTTGGCGATACACAAGAAATGCCACAAAACCAAGAGACTGCACACATGCGACACATGCGGGAAATCGTTCAATCACAGCTCGAGTCTGTCGCGGCATCGGTTGATCCACAAAAAAGGCCTGGATAAGGACGTCAGACCGTTATACCCGACTCCAACCCCAGCTCCCATCGGAACCCAGCACAGTTTCCCATCCGGCCACGGCACGAGTAAAAGAACGGTGGAGAAGCAGTACCAGTGCGCGCAATGCGACAGAGTCTTTAGCCACTCCGCGGGACTCTCCAAGCACCAGGTGGCTCATGTGAGACAGCTGCTCAACTCGTACACACACGGCAAAGACTCCCTCGACAAGTCCTCGGACCTCAAGATCCGCTTGAAGCTCTGTTCCCGCGACAAGCCCAACTACTACACCCTGTGCAAGAAGAACAAGCACGGTAAAGGGGGCAAGAAGAGGTTGTTCCTGCCCAATGAGGAGCGGCCGTACCCCTGCCGGATTTGCGACAAACGCTTCAGCCACACCGCCAGCCTCTCGCGGCACGAGCACACGCACGCCAGCAACATGTGCTACGCCTGCAACGTCTGCAGGAAGACCTTCATGCGGCTCTCCAACCTCAAGCAGCACCAGCAAACGCACGCTAAGGGAAAACTCTACAAGTGCCCACAGTGTGGGAAAACTTTCGTTCACTCCTCCAGCTTCTCGCGCCATAAGAAGGTCCACGCGGCGATGAGCCTGTCTTCGAAACAGGAAGACGTTATGTGCGAAGAGGAACTGGTCATCGATGAGGTGGCCCCGCTGGAATATGAGTCCGAGTGAGAAAGACCGAGGCTCTGGAACTGTCGAGGCTTTTCTTTTCTTCTTTTGGTTTGTTTTTGTTTACTCCTCATTCTTATTTTGCGAAATCGTAATTTGGGTGTGGCATCACTGGCTGTGTGGTTTCAATTGAGTACTATTGTAATTATTATAACCCTTTTCAGCCACTTTTAGGGGATATAGTAGATATAAAAAGTGTTTTTGTTTTCTTGGTTGACATTCCCTTGTGTTTTGTTGATTTGGTTTATTTGCAAGCCAGATTGTGTAATTTATGTCTCTGAAATTTTAGGTATTAACAAGAAAATCAACAGAGAAAAGCGGATGGCATTGGCAATGCAGGTGTTATTTATTGTTATTTTTATTTTTTGTTGTGCTTGCACTGAATCTGTGAAGCCAAAAGAAGTACTTATTGGGGTGAGGGGAGAAGGTAATATTAAATTCAAGTTTGTTAGTAGGAAACCAGAGTTTTGTATGCAAGAAGTAAATTTATATGCAATTTACTTGAACGTTGTTCTATTAAGTGTGCGGTTTGAATCAGTTATTTCTCCTGTAATTATATTTAGTGACCTAATTTCTTAGACCAACAAGTTCAAGGCTTTTCTCTTCTGAAGTCTGGAGACACAAAAACAGGTTTTGCTGTTTGGTTTTATGGGATATAAAAAAAAAACTGTATACAGTTCCAGTATAAACCGCTGGACGAGTGCAAATGGAGGAGCTGTACTCCGGACTAACAAGTGTTTTGGGGTGTTTTGATTGTTCTGCATTTGACTAGTTTCCTCACCATGTTTTCTTTGGTACTTATTTCCTCTTTGATGTTCTTTTGTCAAAATATGAAATCCATTGTGTCCATGGAGGGTGTTTATAAAAAAACAAACAAAAAAAAGATGCTTATTAGACACGGACATGTACAGCTGCTCTTAAAATATTGTTCATATAAATTTGTGTGTGTGCACTTGAATGAATATGAGAAAAGAATATACCTGCAAAATGTGTGCTTTTTACTTCTGCTGTATATGTGTAAAAAGTTGCACTTGCAAAAAGAAGTTCTATCTGATTTATTTTTCTGTATCTGCATAAGTTAAGGAATAGCCAAGGGATTTCATATTTTAACAAGCATTGCACTATTGTATTTATAGACAGAAGCACTACATATTTAGGGAATTGGAACGCGACTTTGGATCTCCCGGTCAAAACCTCAAATGAATGAGGCACGGAAAAATATCTTCCACGCATTTTGAAAAGTTGATCAAGTGCCCTCAGCTACTTTGTGTAAGACCAAAGCTCTTCAATGCAACACGGAAGACCTGCAGTTCAGCTCATCGAAGGTGTTTAATCAGCCTTATGTTCGATGCTCATACACATCTGGACTTTTGCTCACCATTTGCTATCTGAGTGGAAATTGAATAGCAATTACTAACCTATTTATGGTGTTTGAAAATGAGATGTTGAGGAGTGTTGGGATGCTCGTATGAAGCACAGAAGACAACCAGAATGATGCACCAGAATTGGTACTCTCTATAGTTTTTTGAGTTCCTGGTTGTTTTTAAATATTCCCATTGTTCTTAAAGCATAAGTCATATCCCCCAGTCGTATGGACCTTTTATTGCCATTGTTTTTAATTCTTTCCAATAATATAAGGGTTATCGCTCTCCTGTCCACACTGATTTAAATTTGTAATTTTTCCTTTTCAATTGCTGTAGCTATTTCATCTCTCAATGCAGCAGACCTACATCTTATATAAAGATGTATGTTTTTGTATTGTGTTTGCCATTAGATAACAGTTTAAGAGTTCTGTCTTGCATTTTTGTAATAAATAATTGGTTCATGAATCAGTGGTCTATCTGAGTCTATTTGCTTAAACTTTATAGTATTAGTATGGTTCAGTAATTTCAATTACAGCCATTTAAATGAAAAAGCCCTGATATAAGACACCAGTCCAATTGTGACAGATAATCAATTTACAAGTCTCGTTTACTGAGAGATGGATAACTAATAATAATAATTCATTATATTACAATTTAATTGCATTTTATATTTTATCGCCAAATCATTTATTGCCCTATTAATTGACTCCAGGCCCTACCTGTTAAAGAAGTCCTTGCTGAAAATGCCACCTGTAGCTGTCGCCTGTAGTTCTGTAATCGGCCAAAAGATGTCAGCAAAAGACAATTTATGGAAAGGTAACAAACACTTCGGCAAACATCGTAAGGCTTCGTGTTCCTACAAAACAACAAATAACTGCTAAAGTAACTAGGTAAATTATTATATATGTTTTTAAACTTAACATTTTATATCTGACCTTTGCATGATTTGAGGGTTTTTATCGTATTGTTCAAAAAAAAATCTAGCATTTTATTTTTTTATTGGCCAATGTTGATTCTGAAGGAAAAATAGAGTGTATCTTCCTATTTACAATTAAGCCTTTTTTTGTTGTGAGTATAGGCTACTTTCTACTGAGTAATGCACAGAACTGTTGAAAAAGGCATAGCCGGAAATAACTCCGCTACTTTTGGAGAATGAAAAACAAACAGGCAAAAAACGATGTTAGACGTAAAGGACCATTTACCAATGAATATCTCTTCAATAATAGGCCCACTGACATGAGGCCTGTTCATAAATGATGAAATGTCATACTTTCATGCTGTAAAATGCATGTTTATCTGAGGAAAGAGAAGTATAATATCATTACTGAATGAACTGGTGGCAATATCTAGATAAATGTTTCATTAGAATCATAGATAGACTATGACTATGAGTGTTTACTGATCTTTGGCAGCACACAAATGCACAAAAACGAAGAAATAAATCTGCTATTTATAAGCAGCTGCAACTAGATAATGAAGGGAGAATTTGTTGAACACCCCGCAAAACGTACTGTCTGTGACAGAACCGTGGTGATCGTATCAGACGGTAGTAAAGACATAGTAGGCTACATATAGCATGATAGCCATGATACTCAAATTTAAAACACCATAAACCACGGTACTTGATAATGTAAAGTGTACGGTGTTACGTTAGTTGAGTATATTTTTGGAAACGGGAAATATAAATGTTGTTTACTATCTAGAACGCCCCCTGCTGCCCACCGCAATAACTTCATCTAACTAAAATTACCATGGTTACTAAACAGATAAGATAGGCCTACGATTCTAGAGTTAGCACATAACATTTCGGCTACACCAATAATCTATCTATGTATCTATCTGTCTACCCTGATAGCACACATACATCTCGGAGACGTCTATCTATCTATCTATCTATCTATCTATCTATCTATCTATCTATCTATCCTGAACATTCATACAAGCCAAGTCAGAAAGTTAACTTTATTTCTAAAGTGCTTTATACAATATTGTTTCACAGCAGCTTCGCAATAGTATCAAATTCACATTCTGCTGTAAAGCAGCTCTAACAAGTCAATAGTGTCATTCTACAGCTCAAGTCAGTTCAGTATTGATTCAGTTCAGTTGCATAACTGTGTAAAATGCATCAGTCATACTGTATATACAGTGTATATGTGCATATGCATGTACAGTATGTGCGAGTGCTATATGACAAACTCCTGTGCTCCACTGCGCTCTGAACAAGCACAAGACACACAAGAGTAGTGTTTTACATTTTTCACATCTGTGTGTAGTTTGGCGTGTATGTGGTTAATTATTTTATGTTTGTGTGTAGAGTTACTACGTCTTCTAAAAATACAATTTTTAGAAAAGTTAAAATAGTTTTACAAGGAAGTTTTGGCTTTTGCAAGATGTGTGTGACGTTTTGCATGTTGTGTGTGTGTTTTGTGGTTTTGTGTGTAGAGTTTTGAGAAATGGAGCCATAGTTTCAAAAACTGTGAGTAAGCATTTTGAAAAAATAAAAAACTGTAATAGATACAGTGTGTAAAAACTGTATCTATTATCTAGTATGAGTAGTTATTCATACTAGAACTTATTTATTAGATTTGCTTTTTTACTCGTCTTATGTTATGACTAATCGAATGACCACAGAGTTCAATTAAATATTTTACTAGTAAAATAAAAAATCTTACTAGTAACATTTCAAATAACTACTAGTATCTATTTAATAGGTTTTAGCACCTAATGAATAAGTACTAGTATCTAATAATAAGAACTAGTATCTAATGAATAAATACTAGTATGTAATAAATACGAACTAGTATCTATTTAATAGGTTTGAGTATCTAAATAAGTACTAGTACTAAATAAGTAATAGTAAATAAGTACTAGTATCTAATGATTAAGTACTAGTATCTAATAATAAGAACTAGTATCTAATGAATAAATACTAGTATGTAATAAATACGAACTAGTATCTATTTAATAGGTTTGAGTATCTAAATAAGTACTAGTACTAAATAAGTAATAGTAAATAAGTACTAGTATCTAATGATTAAGTACTAGTATCTAATGAATAAATACTAGTATGTAATAAATACAAACTAGTATCTATTTAATAGGTTTGAGTATCTAAATAAGTACTAGTACTAAATAAGTAATAGTAAATAAGTACTAGTATCTAATGATTAAGTACTAGTATCTAATGAATAAATACTAGTATGTAATAAATATGAAGTAGTATCTATTTAATAGGTAAGAGTATCTAAATAAGTACTAGTACTAAATAAGTAATAGTAAATAAGTACTAGTATCTAATGATTAAGTACTAGTATCTAATGAATAAATACTAGTATGTAATAAATATGAAGTAGTATCTATTTAATAGGTAAGAGTATCTAAATAAGTACTAGTACTAAATAAGTAATAGTAAATAAGTACTAGTATCTAATGATTAAGTACTAGTATCTAATGAATAAATACTAGTATGTAATAAATATGAAGTAGTATCTATTTAATAGGTAAGAGTATCTAAATAAGTACTAGTACTAAATAAGTAATAGTAAATAAGTACTAGTATCTAATGATTAAGTACTAGTATCTAATGAATAAATACTAGTATGTAATAAATATGAAGTAGTATCTATTTAATAGGTAAGAGTATCTAAATAAGTACTAGTACTAAATAAGTAATAGTAAATAAGTACTAGTATCTAATGATTAAGTACTAGTATCTAATGAATAAATACTAGTATGTAATAAATATGAAGTAGTATCTATTTAATAGGTAAGAGTATCTAAATAAGTACTAGTACTAAATAAGTAATAGTAAATAAGTACTAGTATCTAATGATTAAGTACTAGTATCTAATGAATAAATACTAGTATGTAATAAATATGAAGTAGTATCTATTTAATAGGTAAGAGTATCTAAATAAGTACTAGTACTAAATAAGTAATAGTAAATAAGTACTAGTATCTAATGATTAAGTACTAGTATCTAATGAATAAATACTAGTATGTAATAAATATGAAGTAGTATCTATTTAATAGGTAAGAGTATCTAAATAAGTACTAGTACTAAATAAGTAATAGTAAATAAGTACTAGTATCTAATGATTAAGTACTAGTATCTAATGAATAAATACTAGTATGTAATAAATATGAAGTAGTATCTATTTAATAGGTAAGAGTATCTAAATAAGTACTAGTACTAAATAAGTAATAGTAAATAAGTACTAGTATCTAATGATTAAGTACTAGTATCTAATGAATAAATACTAGTATGTAATAAATATGAAGTAGTATCTATTTAATAGGTAAGAGTATCTAAATAAGTACTAGTACTAAATAAGTAATAGTAAATAAGTACTAGTATCTAATGATTAAGTACTAGTATCTAATGAATAAATACTAGTATGTAATAAATATGAAGTAGTATCTATTTAATAGGTAAGAGTATCTAAATAAGTACTAGTACTAAATAAGTAATAGTAAATAAGTACTAGTATCTAATGATTAAGTACTAGTATCTAATGAATAAATACTAGTATGTAATAAATATGAAGTAGTATCTATTTAATAGGTAAGAGTATCTAAATAAGTACTAGTACTAAATAAGTAATAGTAAATAAGTACTAGTATCTAATGATTAAGTACTAGTATCTAATGAATAAATACTAGTATGTAATAAATATGAAGTAGTATCTATTTAATAGGTAAGAGTATCTAAATAAGTACTAGTACTAAATAAGTAATAGTAAATAAGTACTAGTATCTAATGATTAAGTACTAGTATCTAATGAATAAATACTAGTATGTAGGCCTAATAAATACGAACTAGTATCTATTTAATAGGTAAGAGTAACTAAATAAGTACTAGTACTAAATAAGTAATAGTAAATAAATACTAGTATCTAATGATTAAGTACTAGTATCTAATAATAAGAACTAGTATCTAATGAATAAATACTAGTATGTAATAAATACGAACTAGTATCTATTTAATAGGTTTGAGTATCTAAATAAGTACTAGTACTAAATAAGTAATAGTAAATAAGTACTAGTATCTAATGATTAAGTACTAGTATCTAATAACAAGAACTAGTATCTAATGAATAAATACTAGTATGTAATAAATATGAACTAGTATCTATTTAATAGGTAAGAGTATCTAAATAAATACTAGTACTAAACAAGTAATAATAAATAAGTACTAGTATCTAATGATTAAGTACTAGTATCTAATAATAAGAACTAGTATCTAATGAATAAATACTAGTATGTAATAAATACGAACTAGTATCTATTTAATAGGTTTGAGTATCTAAATAAGTACTAGTACTAAATAAGTAATAGTAAATAAGTACTAGTATCTAATGATTAAGTACTAGTATCTAATAATAAGAACTAGTATCTAATGAATAAATA